TCTGGTGAGGGACGGGGCTCCTCCAGCACCCCAGTGACCCCCTGCACCTCCAGCACAGCACCCAGCAGAGCCTGCGGCGCGGTTAGCCCAACGCTGAACCAGCCTGTGCATTGCTGCCCGATACCAAAGGCGTCCAAGGAAACGGCAATGACCCCTGCAATGTGGTCAATAAAACCTGATTCAACTTGAAACATCATCTCCTGAAAATGCTTCACGTACAAAGCTGTGCCACAGATCCTGATAGCTTTATACTCTCCTACACACAGGGGCTTGAGCTCTGTGCTCCCGAAAAGCCAAGCGATTTTGCTATAAGTACGAGCGCGTGCGGCGTACAGGTAATGGGGCCAGTGGCAGTGGGAGGGCAGAAACAGGGATGTGGCACATGGCACGGTGCCCCGCCACAGCAGCACCGCTGCCCAGGCAGACCCACCGCCAGGAAGCAGCGGGAAAGGCGGATCCAGAGGGCACAGGCCAGCGCGAGGGAGCGCGGGATGGCTCCGACAGCATGCCCGGCTGCTGGCACAGGGCCCCGCTTCCCTCGTCACAGCCCCTCTGGGGCTCAGCCCCTGGCTACCACGCTCTCGCCGGCCTCCTTGCCCTCTTCTCGGTTGCCCACCTTGGCATTGCAATCTGAGTCCAATTCTCTGCTCAGTCCCACAGGGAGCGGGAGCGTCCCAGGGGCCTCGCAGGAAAGGATCTGGCCCCTTATCCCTGCAATCGCAAAGCTAACAGTGCTGGAGCGGGTGTCCTTGAAGGTCCCCTGCTGGAAACATCTGCCATTGGCCAGCAGTTTTAAGTGTCCCTTCGCTAATCCCAAGGTATTAGCTGGCCAAGCCCATCACGTAGGTACCTCCAATGCTTGAGGGAAGCCCTTTTTGCTCAAGGAAAGTCAATTCTAAGAAAGTCCGAAAAGCTTGTACCTTGGCCAGCAGGTCTGGCTGCTCAACAAATCCCACCGGAGGCCAGGAGCAGGCTGTGGGTTAATAATTTAAGGGGAGAAGACTGATGGGGAGAAGACCCACATTGACGTGTGGGCACACCTAGTCGGCTTGCCAAAAAAAGGCTTTCAGAAGGCGCAATGGTGTCCCAAGGACGGGTGCCCACCAGGAGCACTGAGCCATGCGTGCTGCTCTTGAATCCTGCCTTTCCGGGTGGAAAACATCTCTCTAGCTCATTATGGGGGTTTTATTGTTTCCTGCAGCTTTCAAGGAGCGTATCAGAGCAGAAAACATAAAGCCAAGAGCGCCCCGAAGCCTGCCCGGCTGCCGCGACTCTCGCCCGCTGCCCGCTGCGCTCTTCCTGCTGCACTTTCACTTGCAATATCGAGCAGCGCGGGCCAGCTCCATTAGTGACCTAAACGCCAGGCCGGCGGCAGTATCTCACGCTTTACATAACTAACGAGCCCAGGGCGAATTTCAAAGTTCAGGGAGCTGCCGTTTCCAGCAGCCTCGCTGAGCTTTTTATAGAGCCGGGGTGCAATTCACAAGGAAGTTTGCAAATAATTGTGAATAAGGAGGAAGCGTGAGGCTTTGACACTCGGCTCGTGAAGATTTTATGAGCAGAGAAAGAGGTGACGTTTGAGAGCGAGGAGAACTCAGAGGACTTCTTCAGGCTCTCCAGTTCCTCATCTCTAGCGACCAGCCCTCTGACCTCGCAATCCCTTTTGCTGTAGGGTTATCTGGTTAGGTTTTTTTCTCCCGCTATTGGTAGTTCAGCTGGGTGAAATGCACACATATTTAGCAACAGGTATAAAAAATCATCACCAACAAGGCTTGGTTTGGCAGTGACTCACTAGGCGACTTCCCATTGATTTTTCTTGGACTCTGACTTTAATTTGCAGAAACCCCCCACACACTCATTTTCCCTGCAAAAAAATTTCTCTTACCAAGGCACAGCTCTTTCCCAAAAGCCTTCAGGCTACAGCCAGTAGCTGTTTATTCAAGAAAAGGCAGAGAAGGAACCTCAGTTTCCAACCCTCTGAAGTATTACGATTTATACCATTCGTAATGAAACTGTTGATATTTATACCGAAGAAGTCCATGCATTAGTTTCCTATTCCCACTGCCGTGAGGTGGGTAGTCACTCATTCCAGCCCGATTAACGTCCAGCTTATTGATTTCAGTAACACAATTCATTTAAGAATTTCATCCTTATCTGTGCCAAACCTGTGTCTGTCCTGCTTGCTTGCAAGCTTAATGGAGAACATCTCTGAAGCATTTGCAGCTTTTTTTTTTTTTTAAGGACGGCCCTGGAAAATGCGTGGGATTTTAATTCCGCCAGGCATGAGTGCTACAAACATCTCGCAGGCAGAGATCCTGAGGATGGAGGGCGTTTGGCAGAAACAGCCCATCAAATCCAATGGGAATTTTGCTGCCGGTTGGCGAAGCCGGGCCAGGTCCCGCCGTCTCCCAGCACATGGTCCCACCACGGCCAAGTCCTGCTGCTGTCCCGGGGGCCCCTTGGCCCTGAAGGCACCCGAGCAGCGCTGGGCTGGGACCCAGCGTGGAGGCACGGCTGCAATGGCAGGGCTTTAACTTGCAAGTGACTGAAGGACCTGGGCATGTGGCCAGAGCAAGGAGGGCGCGAGCGGGGCTGAGCAGAGCACAGCTACCCCAGGGAACCGCGGGCGTCCCGGCCACCCTCCCCGCCGGCAGCACTCGCCGGCTCTGGGCAGGGGCAGCTGCTCGGCCGCGTGCGAGGAGACAATGGCTGATTTATTTGTCCCTTTGTATGTATTTAATCTAAGAGATACAAACTGAGCAACTAATGGTATTTTTTCACAATTCAATCAACCCGATTGTCACGTAACTCAATCAGAGGCACTTTCAAGCCCCTGCTTTATCTCAGTCCCACTGCTGGCTGTGAAACCGTTCCCTTGATCCGGAGATGTGTGCTGATGTCCTTCTCCCGCCATTAATTTCCCCTCCCACGTTCCTCCTCAGAAGAAACCGCGAGGTTCAGACCTACGAAACCGGCAGAAGCTCCCAGGCCCCAGCTCCATCTGCCGCCCGAGGCACCGCTGCCGGGCTCGC